TATATATCCGAAAACACTATATATATATATATATATATATATATATATATATATATATATATATATATATATATATATATATATATATATATATATATATATATATATATATATATATATATATATATATATATATATATATAGTAGATAACAAACTATTACCCGGTCAGATGTATATGTATTACGATCGCTGTTTTACATAAATTTAACTCATTTAAAATTAATTTTATCACTATATGTATAGAAATTAATACTTTTTATGTACTTTATATACTAAACTTTATAAGATTGACGATAAATGAAGATATATTACGAAATAATCTAAAATCTTGTGGTATAATGCAAGTAACAAAAAATAATTCAAATCTGTATTTCATTTTTTTTTTAATCTATTTAAGATAAAATTTGAAAGGTGTCGGAGTCATGTTTGTCGTAGGTTAACTCTTCTTCATCTCCATTCAATCGGACTCTGTAAAAATAAACCGTAAATTGTAAAATATAGATAATTAGTAAATTGATCCGAATATATTTGATAAAGAATTAATTTTTATCAACTTACCAGGGTAATTAAGTCGATAACAAAAGATGGAAGTTGATATCTCCATCGAACCATTTAAACAGAAATGTGTTGCCCTGCTTAAGCCAACCATACTCCAATGAGTCCAAGGTTGAAGATTGCTTTTTATAGGCGTTTTTCCAAATACTTGAAATGTAATGGGCCCTCAGAAGTTGTTGGTAGAGTTCACTCTTACATGTTGTATTTTTTTACTAAAATTTTCATTCACATCCGAATCTTTGTAACAACTAACGGTACTACAGCCGGTCCATCCTCCAACGACGGATCTAATTCAGCCCCAATATCTTTTTCTACTACTTCATCTGTCTCAGAAACGTTTACGTCTTTTATAAGATTATCAAGTACTATTGTAATATCAGTTATTGAGCTATCAGCTAATGTTGATGATTGCTCAGTTGCAGACGATGACGTAGTGGGTTTGTTATACAGCTTCTTTGTTGAGATCGGTTGCATTTTTTTTTTAAACCCGTAAATGCTTTGTAACAACTACTGTGATATACAGAATCAAAAATTTCGACCAGTAGAATTATTTCATTGTTTTTTTATTTATAATGTTTTCTTAACCTCAAAATTTGTCGACATTTTTCCATCTCTTTTGAAAATATCAATAATTTCTCAGTCTTTGCCGTGGCACAAAAAACACACTTCACTAGTTTAATTAAAGAAAAATAACATAAAGCAACACTCTGTATTTTATTTAATTCACTAAACACGAGGCATCTGTATAGCGATACTGAAAACATCTGACAAAAACCGTTAGGTTGGGATTATAACAGAGACATCTCAGGTATAAACCCTAAATTATTTAAGTGGTAGCAGCTATCAAATAAAATAATATAAGCTGGAATGAGTAGAATAGTAATACACAGGAGAAAGAAAAAAGATAGCTATATGCAGTGCATGCATACATCTGTCCGGGTAGTAGTAAAGATTCTGTTATCTACTGAGTAGTGTACTCAATAAAAACGTCTGCCGTTATTAACATAAGTTTTTGAGACTATAAAAAATAATATATCTCAATAGCAGATCTGATCAAACACTTTCCAAATTTGAATTTTTTGAACTAAGCAAACTAACTAACAAGCTAAACTAACTAAACGAACTAACCAAAACTGTCTGCTATAATGTTAACCGCATGCTAATGGTCTGCCATTATTATTTTTCGATAATAATAAAAATATATTTTGAGATTTCAAAACGGCAGCCGTGGTCAAATATATTTAAAATTTGCCGAAAATCAATACCTGTCTCACTTGCGCATTACCTGGGTCCACCGCTTTGAGCTTAGTGGGTCCCCACATCAAGTATAGTAGGTATGTACAATGTACAAAAACCCAGGTCTGCTCAAATACATGCAGGTAGCCGCTCAGTGGCTGTTAGACTATCAAATTTATTCATATACAGAGATAACCTAAAATCGTTAAATTCGACACCCTTTAAAAATGTATGCACTTTTGTATTGTTGGCCTTCGCGTACCTACCAACACACACCGAAATTCCAGCTCGTATAGCCCGCTCCATAAATATAATTTGATCAATGTGGCGCAAAAGTTCTAAATGGCAATTTGGGAACCTAAGCATGCAATCCCATGTATACCCGGACATACTAAAATACCATTCCGAATCCAAAACATGCGCTGCCATATAAGTTTTTTGAAAATTTTAAAATATATCTGCTAGAATAATAACGTTGGTTTTTAAATACAAATCTGAATAGTCACCTAAATTTTTTAATTAAAACGACTGTTATGTGAGGACCCACACTTACAGCAAGTTTTGTTTAAAAAGGTAATTGAATAACAGAAAACAATTATCACCTTTCTCGCCAGTTCCTACCTGTTTTTATATTATAATAATCCACTATTTTACATTGCAAAATAATCAAATTAAATTAATGTAGTGCTTAAATGACAGGGGAATATAAATTCGAATTTTGCTATGCGTGTATAACTTGTAAAAATATAAAAGATTTTTAAAATTATTTAATGACCCACACTGCAAGTTTTGTATTATGTGAATTTCGTTATGCGCGACTTTTCTAACAGGAAACCGAAAGTCGCTTTTAAAAAAACTTTATTTTTCAAAACCACAAAATTAATAGTTTACCGCAAGAGCGTATTCAACTGACTAACAAATAAGCGCAACAACAGTTTTATATGATTCAAAGCTGACGCGGCAAAATCTGGCTGAGCATCTTCCTATGGATGTAGGAATGGGTCGTGACATAATTCGTGAATAACATTTAATAAATGAAAGATGATTTTTAAAATTATTCGATGTCCCGACTTACTGAAAGTTTTGTTTAAAACATGTGTTTTATAAGAAACACGACATAAACATAATTTGTGTCTTGTTTGTTCTAGAAAATAGCGGTTTGGTCTAATCAACATTTTTACGTTGCGTTATTATCAAATTAGATCGAACTATATAGTGTTTTAATATCTTTTAAATGACAGGAATATAAATGCGAATTTTGGAATGTGTGTATAACAATAAACAAGTTTTAAAATTATTTATTTGATGACCCACACTTACTGCAAGTTATGTTTAAAAAGTTAATTTTCTTTGTGATCTCTGAAGATCAGAAAACAATTATCACCTTTTTGATCAGTTTCTACCTGTCTTTATAATATAGCAACCCACTATTTTACGTTGCATAATAATGAAATTAAATTGAAGTATATAGTGTTTTTAGTAGCTTTTAAATGACGGGGAATAGAAATGTGAATTTAGGTGTGCATGTATAACACTTAGCATTTTTTAAACAAAACTTTCAGTAAGTTGGGACATAGAATAATTTGAAAAATCATGTTTTGTTTGTTAAACGCGACATATACATACTCTGTTTCTTGTTCTAGAAAAATAGCGGTTTGTCCTAATCCACCCTTTTACATTGCATAATAATGAAATTAAATTGAAGTATATAGTGTGTTAATATCTTTTAAATGCCAGGGAATATAAATGCAAATTTTGGTATGCGTGTATAAGTTTAAAAAAAAATAAACGATTTTTTAAAATTATTTAATGACCCATACTTACTGCAAGTTGTTTTTAAAAAGTAAATTTTCTCCGTCATCTGTGAAGAACAGAAAATAATTATTACGTTTTTGGTTAGTTCCTGTCTGTAATAATCCACTATTTTACGTTGCATAATAATCAAATTAAATTGAAGTATATAGTGTTTTAATATCTTTTAAATGACAGGGAATGGAAATGTGAAATTTGAAATACGTATAGAACATTTAACAACAAACAACAAAACATAACAACAAAAAACAAAAGACACTTACTAAAAGCTTTTTTTAAAAAATATGTTTTATAAGAAATGCGACATATACATAATTTGTTTCTTGTTTGTTCTACAAAAATAGCGGTTTGTCTTAAGCCACATTTTTACGTTGCATAATATTCAAATTAAATTGAAGTATATAGTGTTTTAATTTCTTTTTAATATGTGTATAACTTTTTTTTTAAATTCTTTGGTGACTCACACTTATAGCAAGGTTTGTTTAAAAAGTTAATTTTCTCTGTGATCTGTCGATGGAAGTTCCTGGAACTGTGCCAGTGGCGGGGGGGGGGGGGGTTTAAAACGGTAGCGCTGGAAACGGACGGGTAGTATGGGGTTACGTGGTTAGGAGGCCAGTTCATCGTCTATGTATCCGGACCCGGCAGGCCGCCTCAAAGAGTATTATTTTGTTTTGTTTGTCGTGGGACAGTATTGGGTTCCCAATACTGCTCCTCTCAAGTGTATCCTTCGTTTTCGCAAATATACGCTGTTTATTACTCCAGAATTCCACGAGATTTTATTATGTGTTTTCACGTAACCGCAGAACAGTATGTGAAGACCGCAACAACAATTTTCAGCTTTTGGTCAGTTCCTACCCGTTTTTATATTATAATAATCCACTATTTTATGTTGCATAATATTCAAATTAAATTGAAGGATATAGTGTTTTTTAATATATTTTAAATGACAGGAGATATAAATGTGAAATTTGGTATGCGTCTATAACTTTTAACAAATAAAAGATTTTTTAAAAGCACGGTGGATTCCACTCGAAAATAGTGCAGTTAGTAGTTTTTAAAAGTTAATAAACAAAGACACCTCTACATCTTTGAACTCGACACGGATTAAAATCATATGCGATATGCACAGAGTGCATGCGCCGCAACCAAATTTTTCGTTAATCCCACAGAATACATATAACTGGTAAGTAATTCTTATTCTCAACAAGCAAAAACCTTGACATTTAGACTCGTCTCGTTTTAAAATTCCACATCCCACGCGGATATTGGAAAAATTTAAATAAAAATGAAAGCAAGTTGGCTTTGATCTCTGGCGGTAACATACGTTCATCGCGTTTATCGCATTTATCGCGTTGGTGCCGTTCGATTTTTAAGTCACTTTTTATTTTTAATTTAACCATGGAACATACGTTGCGTGTGTATGGTCGAATATATTCAGTGCAATGAATACAGAAGTGCGATGTCCATTTTAATATCTTTTAAATGACAGGGAATAGAATTGTGACTGTTGGTATGTGTGTTAACAAATATAAGATAATTTTTAAAATTATTCGATGATCCCAAGTTGTCACTTACTAAAAATTTTGTTTAAAATATATATATATATATATATATATATATATATATATATATATATATATATATATATATATATATATAACACTTCGAAGTGTTTTCGGAGCGCGAGCATTGAAGATGCCAAGTGAGATTTTGGCGAAATATATATATATATATATATATATATATATATATATATATATATATATATATATATATATATATATATATATATATATATATATATATACATATATATATTGATACTTGTTAAGTTGGGACTTCCGCTACGTGAAGCGGACGGCCTAACATCCACTATTTTCGGGACGTATATTATAAAACTTTCGATGTATATATGATGAGGGGGCGGAGCCACCTCCCCCCACGCACAAGCAGCACCGTTACCATCTCCGGCGCAGAGTATAAATACCGCACGCACCGCCGATAACCTCCCAGGTTTCGAAGTGTTTTCGGAGCGCGAGCATTGAAGGCAGTGTTCGAAGTGTTTTCGGAGCGCGAGCATTGAAGATGCCAAGTGAGATTTTGGCGAAACGTCTGCAGGATTCCAGTCGGATGCAAGATTTGCAGGATTCCAGTCGGATGCAGGATTCCAGTCGGAGTTCAACGAGCGAACGGATGATATCCCGGAATATAGTGTCATCACATTTTTGCATCCGTGAATCAATACGTGAGAATATATATATATATATATATATATATATATATATATATATATATATATATATATATATATATATATATATATATATATATATATATATATATATATATATATATATATATATATATATATATATATATATGATGACACTATATTCAGGGCCTTGCTAGCTTTGTCCAGGATAGCTTGTGTCTTTCTGGTGCGTGTATGATAAGACAACCTTGTAAATGTTGGCAGCAAGTTCTGGTTGCGGCAGTTTTTAAGAAAATTCAAGTTGCACAGCGAAATAACCCTCCTTTGTCTTAGTTTTTCATAACACTTGGTGGCTGTAAAGGTCTCCTTCCCGTAAAGGTGTATGATATTCTCACGGATGGAAAAATGTGATGACACTATATTCCGGGATATCATCCGTTCGCTCGTTGAACTCCGACTGGAATCCTGCATCCGACTGGAATCCTGCAGACGTTTCGCCGAAATCTCACTTGGCATCTTCAATGCTCGCTCTCTGAAAACCCTTCGAACACTGGGAGGTTATCGGCGGTGCGTGCGGTATTTATACTCTGCACCGGAGATGGTAACGGTGCTGCTTGTGCGTGGGGGGAGGTGGCTCCGCCCCCTGAATTGTCGCGTTGTTAATTTCGCCCGATCGTAGTTGCGATGTCCCCGTTGGCTGCTGCGCATCGCTCTGCTGTTTGATTATCGTTCTCCACGTGTTGGATAAATGCAGAGCGTCGTCTCTCGTATTGAGGTGTCCGGACTTTTCTATTTCGATGGCCTCTCGTATAATCCTAGTCCTAAAATCAGGAATATTAGCTATTTGTTTGCAAGTGCCGAAATCAATTTTATGGCCTGTCTGATGTTGGTGCTGAAACAAAGCAGATATTGTTTGTTTGTTTCTTATGGCTAAACGATGTTCCTCGAGCCTGGCTGAAATCCTTCTGTTGGTCTGTCCCACATACGTCAGGCTGCACGATCCGCATGCTACACTGTATACTCCTTGGTTTTCCAGAGTAATTTTTTGTTTTGGGTTTCTTAGTATTGCTCCGATGGTATGGTCAGGTTTGTATGCCGTTGATATGTCGTGTTTCCGTAATATTCGGCCGATTTTGTCAGTAACCCCCTTGATGTATGGCAGGACAGCGATCGATCTTCGTTGGGTCTCGTCCTGCACTCTCTGCTGCGGCTGTTGTTGTTTACTGATTGCCTTGCTGATGGTGCGCCTATGTATTTGCCACTGCCTGTATCTGTGATGGGTGGTGATGAGATTTAGCGTTCAGATATCTATTAGTGTGGGTTGGTTTTCTATAGACAGTGTGTTCCAAGTGTCCATCTTCGGTCCTTGTGATGTGCACATCTAAAAAGGGCAGACTGTTATCCTCTTCAAGTTCTATTGTAAATTGAATCCTTGGGTGAATGGAATTCAGATGATCTAGGAATTTCAAAAGCTCCTCCTTGCCAAAAGGCCATACAACAAATACGTCATCAACGTATCTTGTCCATAGTTTTGGCTTCAGATTTGCCTTCTCTATTGCTTTCTTTTCGAAGTAAATCATGAAGAGGTTGGCAATCACAGGTGAGAGAGATGATCCCATTGCTGCTCCATCTATTTGTCGGTAAATTTTCCCGTTGTGCATAAAGTAAGCGATTTTCAGGCAATGTCTTGACAGATCCATTATGTATGGCGGAAGATCTTCGTTTTCTTTTATAAGCAAGAGTGCCTCTTCTACTGGAATACTCGGGTAGAGGGATTTGACATCGAAACTTGCCATAATGTCGTCCTTGTCCATCCTGAGAGAACCTAAAATCTGAGTGAAATGTTCTGAGTTTTTAACATAGGAATCTGCCTTTTCCACTATAGGCTGAAGTGCACTGGCTAGATGTTTTTCCAGCTTATATATATATATATATATATATATATATATATATATATATATATATATATATATATATATATATATATATATTACTGAAAGTTTTGTTTAAAAAATGTGTTTTATAGGCAACGCAACATTGGTATTGGTATTAAAGGGGGGCGCCCTCGCGGGCATCCAAGAACTTAGGCCACCAGATGGGCCCGTTGTTCCTCCAGACCTCTCTAGAGGGCGTCCAGAATGCCACCCCTCCTATAGAGGGTTACCAACTCCTTTAGCCCAATACCGTGCACTGAGTCCGGATCGATCAGGGCCGTTCCGAAGGCTCCCAATCTGCATTCTGGGTCGTCTTCAATGCCTAGTAAGCAAAGATGCCTCCTAAGCCTGCAATGTCCTGTGTGGCCCCTGTTAGTGCTCTACACTCCGTTCTGGTCAGTCTAAGCAGCTCCATGGTCCGAGGGAGGGCGGGCCATCCATGATAAGCCTCTCCTGCCTCATTCCCGGAGCAACTCTCCGGTCCATCGCGGCCCGGTCTCTCGCTCAGGCTTTGATGGCTCGCCACCTCACACACGGGGCGATCCCCAAGCGGGGCTCTGGTCCCATAGGCCTATGCAAGGAGCCTTCCTTGGCTAAGGCGTCCGCTGCCTCTTTGCTCTGGATACCGGTGTGACCCGGAACCCAGACCAACGTCACCTTCTTCTCCTCAGTACCCCTTTGCACTCCTTTATCAATAAGGAGCGCGAACGCACTGACTTCAGCACCATAAGTGCAGCCCAACTTTTGTAATGAGATATAATATAATTACATTAATATTAAATATCGCAACACTAAATATATACAAATTGCACCTAATTATCTAAATAGGTACATTTTTATTCAAAAATTAACATTATTAGTTATATTTTTAATTAAATATATTACACTCGTACTTAAGTAGGAGTAACATTTCCTGCTCTCACATTTAATTTTACTTAGTGCTGAAATATTCTATCAAGTTGAATATACAATTATATAGAGGAAGACAGAAAACGGTATGTGCTCGAATATAGAGGTCACATATATCATTTAAATATATTTTTTTATATAACAAATAAATATAACACTCAAAAATCACTGGATTTAAAATAAATTTTATTTTGTAGCAAACATTCTTGAATTTCGATTTTTATACTTAACGAATTTGGTGCTTTTTATTCCCGATGGATATAATCGATTAGAATGACACTGTTATCGGGAATGTTTGTTAGTTTGCATGTTCGATGCTGGATTCTTCAAGATTCTTTGCAGACAACTACAAGTGCTTTGGAATTAATCGCTGTTCTGATTCGGCAGAAATTAATTGAACGTGTTTTTGTCTGGCAGGTTTTGCCGAAATCAATCCTTTGAATACTTCATTGAGTGTATCAAAGGTTCTATCTTTTGCTCAGTAGGGTGTGAAGGTATGAATGCCGTAATTACTTTTTAGGAGTGTTCCGTCAAAAGCCAAAACACTATCATTTGATTTAGTTTAAGGGTGTCGATAATTATATAATTATATAATTAATTTAATTAAATATTGCTTATTGTTTCAGATTCGGGCATTATGGACTTTTACTCGTACGTTGTTTTCCTAGCGCTCTTTTCGAAAAACTCCCTTTCAGATGACAACGTCCGAGCCCGGAATTACGATATTTGTATGACCATCGGAAAGGATGCGTTCGAGCCGCTGATGGGCAATAAATCTCCGTTTACTGGTAGCGTCGGGGTAATTTTCACAGTTGTTGAGGACGCTTCTTCGGTGGAACTAAGATCCGATGGTGAGCTAGTCACAATAAAAAATATCACACTCGACGGGGTATTACTTGAAGAGTCTCAGTACACGGTGGACGTGTCTGAAGAGAGTGTGACTATTCGACACGAATTCCTTAAAAATACCGATTATAACATTTCAATAATCTACAATAGTGTGATACCCGAACGGGATACCAGCTTCATTCTCCCCATCGCCATCCAACAAAATTCAGTTCGAGGCGAGGCCAATGGCACCACATATTTCGTTCAGGCAATTTTTATCGGTGCGCAGAAAATGTTGCCACATTTTCACAAGTTCGAAGCAAGGTCCATTTTTAATATGACCGTTGTTCATCCCCAAGGATACACAGCAATTGGTACCACGGCTGTGATATCCGAGACACCACTAGAGGGGCAAGTATATATTTTAGTATATTAAGGAATCCTGGGGCATTGGGTTGGGTTTCAGAAAAAAATGAAATTCTTACATTTATTGTCTTTTTCGGGACTCTAAAAAAACAGATCGCATATACGAGGTGGGTTCAAAAAGTAAGTAAAAGTAAAGTAAAGGGGCGAGTTACGTACATTCCATCATCAATATATTTCTTTGTTATGTCGGTACACATGTCCCTAACTTATGTTCACAGTTTCAGCCAGTTTGCACGTTTACTTTTTAATTGTTTAATTAAACGAAGGGAATTAAGTACGAAACTATCTAGATTTTTGAAAATAGTATTACAGTAGGCTGTAGAAGTTTCTTTCAAAAAGTTTCTTGATCGTTGAAATGTTTCCAAGTGATACAGCATGCGAAAATATCTACCGTTCTACAACAAATCGACCTTTTTCTTTCCACCACACGGTCAATCTTCTTTTCAACCTACCCGATCCTAAATTTCATGCTGAATCTCGCTCAGTCGCTCTCCGAAAGTTGCTGTCATTGGCACCTTTGCCCAGAACATAATCACTATTTTCCGGTCATGCAACACTACATTTGGACATATGTCTATTACATGAGCAGACTACCGATTTTGGTCACAGCTTTTACATTCCACACCAGTGCGTCACAAAACATGAGAGCTATTCTATTAGTGTTTCGAAACCTACTTACCGCGTGTTAGTGGTGAACAACTTTCGACTTACAAAGAATTTTCTAAAGGTATGGTACAAATAGAAGCCATTTTAAATTCCAGACCTTTGTGTGAATGCAGTTCCGATCAGCGCGCGATCTCTCCGGCCACTTTTTCACCGTAGAATCCACAACCTCTGTGTCTTCGACGACAAATCTTAAACTACATCATGATTTTTGGCGTCGCTTTCACACTGATTACTTACATAGCTGGTGATATCGTCGAAAGTGTAATCGAACTACTGAGCAAATTCGTTACGTTTGAAAGTTTCCCCGGATTTCACAAGGAGTTTTGCAGCGCAGTTAGACTCTGTCCACTACCCGATTGTAATCATTAAAAACCTTCGGACTTTTAAGATGGGCGGAATTGGTCCATTCCGCTTATTTTTATTTTCGTTTATTTTTTTTTGTAGCAATTAATTTGGCCGCGGAGTGTATTACGGTCGCGAATAGCCACAATAGGTTTTCACCATTCGACCAGTGTGTAGTCTGTCTCAATCTTTATCGTGTTGGTTTTTGCCCGTTCTTAAAGAAGTTACCCGGTAATAAAACTAGAGTGTAAGTATTAAAGGGCAGAACATTAGGGACGGATTCTCAAAGCTTTTGCCAAAAATATATATTTTTCTTGTTTAGTGAGTTGGGTATAAACTTATTAAATTACATTAAGGAAAAACAATGACATTAAATATATATAATAAGTTCATAGCTAGGAATATCCAAACATAATTGAATTTTTATTATAAATGTCTAAGTCTAATTCTGTTACACTTTCAGAGTCGTCATTGAGACCCTTATAATAGGATTTATGTTGTTTTTTACAAAAGTGTAAGCGCAATGTTATGGAAGAAGTAAAATAGTTTGACCAGCCTGTTCAGTCAAACTTTCAAAAGTTGCATTTCTTTGTAACTGAATTCAAAATAAATATCATTTTCTAACAAATATTCCTGGATTTCAGTTTTTGAACTTGATGAGGCGGGTGCTTTGCGTAGCAGACAGCTGTGGTAGCTTTCGTTATTGAGAATATTTCTTAAGAAATTGGTTTGAAAATAATTTTAAAAAAGTTCGGCACTTGCACAACAACTTCGCTTTGATGACAATATATTTTCCTTCTTATTCGATCCTGATCACTATTAATAAGATCCCTTAAAAACAATATTCGCGTTTTTGTAAGTAGACAGGTATCTTTTAAAACTTCTTGTTGAATAACTCCTCCACTGATTAAAGTTTCATACACATTTTTCACAACCCGCTTAGCATCAAGCGACAAATGATTTCGACGCGAGATTTTTATATTCTCGAAACACACAGTAAAAACGATTATTCAACCCAGTCACAAATTGTCAACACTCAAGAAATATATCAGAAAGAGAGAAATATACCTGGCTCACCCCGGCCTTGCCACTCTAGTAAGAATATTTTTTTAATGGCTTTACCCTGTAACAATAGGTAATAACATCGTTAAAGTTTTATTTCGTAGGGTTCGTTGAAACCCAACACGATTAAGATTGAGACAGATTTTACCATAAAATCCAAAGGCAATTCGAAATCTTTTATTTCTTTGTAAAAACATATAGCAGGTCATATGCCCCGAACAGCAGACGAAGCGCAAAGCTAAGCGAAGGTAACACCCCGCGGAAATCTCATCAAGAGCCTTATATATTCGATTGTCACATTGTAAAAATGCTCTCAATAATTCCAGCCTTTGTATCGGCTACTCCAAATAAAACTTTATTTCGCTTTTTGCGTAATAAATATTTTTAAAAACGCTCTCCCGAATTTTGAATAGCTAAGTATAAAATTTTTATATAACGTTAGACCACGAAGTGCGTGGCAATAATTTTTATTTTTTGGTAATTTTAACCTTCGATATTTTGCATTGAGAGCTACGAGATTCAGTAGATTATGTTAACAGACATTTTTTACATATTTGTTCTTCTATTTAAGTAATTTGCAAAGTTATTTTTTCTACATAAAATTAAACATTAATCAAAATCAAATTCACGAGAAGCTTCTCGAATATGTACCACTAGGGGATTCCAACTCCAAAGGTGTTTTAGTCCTAGTTTTGGTAAAAAACTTCCGCGATAATCAGAATACCAAGAAAGTTAGGTGAGTAACTGCAATTAATGATAATAATTAATTCCATTCATTTTTATTTCGCCGTCTCTCTTGCATTTAACATTAAATTTATTAAAAATCACTTTTGTTGCAGCAACATGGTGGAGAGCAAGTTTGCGCCGACGCCTCTCGTAAAACTTTCTTCGATATCTTTCATAATTTCCGACATTTTGGATTGTGAAGACGCACAACCTGTAAACGGGGTCCATATCAGAGTGTGCTCGAGCAAGAGGGTAGCGAACAATCGAGCCTGGGCAATAAAGTACACACCGACTATTGTTTCGTTGCTCGACCAATTTATGAACTATAGTGTTGGGATGCATACCAACCTCCACAAATTGGACGTAATCGCTGTACCCGGTCAATTCAACTTTGCTCTGAGCTTTTGGGGAGTGTTGACGTTCAGGTAATGTGGTTTTTCCTTTTTGGAATACTGAAATCCTGTGTCCGTTTAACACGTTGACTGCCACAGTAATTTTCAGATTTCTGGCCAAAAATGAAATTTTGATTTTATTACATTATATTATTAAAAAGTCTAAATCTAGGGCATAGTTATAAAATAAAAGAGTAAAAACGTATTTTCCTAAAAAAAAATGTTGAACGAATTATCTCATAGTTGGCGTCGGAAACAGTAATCTCTTCTCGGAAGCCAATTACGAGTTTATTCGTAGGCACACCTACACTGACTTGTCGCTTCGCTAATGCTGAATCATCCATTGCGTCATCATCGTCCGCGTCAGTTATATCTCATACATTGTTGAGTGCATTACTTACGTCTTTCTTGTGTGTTCTTTTTATAATTATTGAATTACTAAGAACCCAATATGGATAGAAAAAGACCATTGACTCAAAGTGAAATTGAGTACTACTTAAATCTAAGTGATTCAGAATTTGATGAGCTTTCTGGCGTGAATAATAACGACAGTAGCGATTATGAAGTGATAGTGAAGATGAAGTCGTCTCAAAATCTGAAGATGATCCGGAACCTGAAGATAACGCCGATGATTCTCAAGCAACAACATCAAATGCGAATGATAATTTGTGGACAGAAACTCAAACTCAGAGTCCTGAATTATTTATTTTCAAAGAAAAGGTTGGTGTGAAATTGGATACGACAAATTTTACAGTACAAACGCTAGTGAACTTATTTTTTTCGGACGATTTTCTTGCATTACTGGTGGAACAAAGTAATTTATATGCTGCGCAAGAAATTGAAAAACGCACAACAATAAAGAAAACCAACAGGTTATCAAATTGGCAAAACGCTAGTGTTGCTGAGATGAAATTTTTTATTGGACTTCTGCTGCAAATGGGACCTTGCTCTTTTCCATCAATTGAACATTACTGGAGCACAAACGAGCTATATAATGTTCACTTTTGGTGCTCACATATGAGTCGAAATCGATTCCAGTTGTTACTTCGTTATTTTCATTTGGTTGATAACTCAATACCATCTAAAGACAGATTATACAAGGTAAGACCAATTTTAAATCATTTCAACAATATTATGCGGGAAAACTATGTACCAGATAAAAATATTTGTATTGATGAGTCTATAATGCTGTGGCGGGGAAGATTGATTTTCCGCCAATACATAAAAAATAAGAAACACAAATATGGGATCAAACTGTATGAACTTTGTGAGTCCGATGGTCTCGTTATGAAAATAAAGATTTATAGTGGAAAATTTGAGAAAACTGACAATAACGTAGTCCACACTACTGATGTTGTTTTACATTTACTTGAGGACTATCTCGATAAAGGATACACGGTTTTCATGGATAATTTTTATAATTCTGTTACACTTACAAAACTGCTAAATACATGAAAAACGTATGTGTGTGGAACCCTACGAAATAACAGAAAAGGGAACCCTAGAGATTTGGTAAATCATAAATTGAAAAAAGGGGAGTGTATTTGGCAGCGAAATGGTCTTGTTACTGTTTGCAAATGGAAAGACAAGCAAGATGTCCTTTGCATTTCAAACATGCATGTTGTTGAAATGATAGAAGTGCCCAATCGCAATGGAAAAATTTCTATGAAACCGAATATAATTCGAGATTACAACAATGGAATGTCTGGCATTGACCGATCAGATCAAATGCTTTCGTATTATTCATCTCTAAGAAAGACTATTAGATGGCCCAAAAAGGTTGCATTGCACATTATAGAGATTTACATCCACAATGCTCACAAATTTTTAAAAAAAGTTACATCTTCTAACATAAAACTGATAAAGTTCAGAGAGGAATTCGTGCTCGCATTGATTGGACAAGAAATTCAACACGTTACGAAAAAGAGTAAATTGCAAAGTATCCATTATTTAGAGAGTTTACCGCCTACCGAAAAAAAAACAGCTTCCAACGAAACCATGTCGCATATGTAACCAAGGAAAAAAACGCCGAGAAACGCGTTATTACTGTCCAGTATGTAGTGAAAAGCCAGCTCTGTGTGTGGAAGATTGTTTTAAAAAGTTTCACAAACAGTAAATATTATTATACTTCTGTAATTTGACTTAATTCTTACACTTACATTTTTTATGTTCGTTTTCAAATAAATTGTCTTTTCATGCAATCCAACATTGATTTTTTGTTCTTTCCGAAGAAGCCATCTATCGATATTAGCACTGATATATTACGAGTTTAATCGTAGCAACACAAGAATGGCAAGTGAATACAGTACGAGATAACTCGTAGTTGACGTCCTTGACAAGATCGCTACCTACGAGTTATCTCGTAGCGTTTTTAGTTTTGAAAACAAAAGCAAACGGATACCCCGGAATATTTTTTCAACATTTTTCCATCCGTGAATCAATACATGAAGATATATATATATAACACAACACAGCGCGGGGTTCTCGCGAACCGGTCACAGAAGAGAGCTTGTTTTTTCGTGGATCGCACTACGGACGCTCACGTAAGTCTGTCTTTTCGCGCGGCTTAACCAAGGTTGGGTATGGTGGGGGAGTTGTATACACAGCGCGAAAATCAAAGGTCAACACAAAAATTATGAAGTTACCGAAAATGTTATTCAACCTTTAACATTCCGGCCTCCCAAAAATACCCAATTTTTCCCATGAACTTATCCGATATACTATATACACGGTTGCCCCTTGAACAGGTTAACAGTTAGGGATAAAAGATAATTTGACCAAAGGGCGATCGAAAGTGCCTTTGGCCGTGTGCACTTGCACAACGCGAATTTCCTTGTCGGAACTGGGGTACAAGCTCGTGATGCGGCCCAGAAGCCACTTTAACGGGGGAGGTTCTCGTCTTTAATTAAAACCAACTGACCGACTTTTGAGGGGCTAGTCGTGGTTTTCCACTTGCGTTGTTGCTGCAGCTAGTGGAGGTATTCCCGATGCCATCTTTCCCAGAAGTGCTGATGCAACTGCTGCACGAGCTGCCAACGAGTGAGTCTGTTAGTGTTCAGATTAGTTAAAGTGTCGTCGGGAGGTGCAGAGAGGGGCTCCAGGGTAAGAAAATGCCCAAGAGTAAGGCTATGCAAGCAAACTACATAAGGGACGGGAATTTAGTATCGATTCCACCTGAGTTAACACTGTCGACATTGTCAAGTAAAATTCTTTAACCCGTGGTATCGGGTGTAGAACTTTACCAAACGGAGTGCCTTTGGGCTGCTCAGATTGATAGCGGGAAGGGCGGGGTTCAGGTTATCTGTTTCCTTCTTTTTTTCTTTCTATTATTTTGTCGGGCGCCAGTCCTTTTTTATACAGCGGAACAAAATTGGAAGTTAGGAAAAGGACAAATCTAGCTTCCTACTGTTAAAAAAAAAATTTGGAGGCAAACAAGGTCTCAGAATCAGAAGATAATATAAAACAGTTAAAATTTTATTCTGCATGGATTCTACAACTTAATTAATTCCCACCTTTTTACAAGTACCCTGTTACTTGTCTGAGGTTTGACTGCTGATGCTTGACTGGCTGCAGATGTCACAGGACGGGGCAACTGGTTCCGTCAACCTGGTCGCTCGACTGGTTGGGTAACAAAATTCTAGGTTATGTCGGAGTAGAACGGCAGTTCCCCGAGATCCTGACACCAATGTTCCCAGCGTCCTTCGAACTATCGGTTCGGGATGATTTAACCTCAAATAAGACAAGGCAACAGCAGTAACTTGTAACAGAGGAATTTAAGAGTACAAAACCATCAGTTTTCTAAATTTAAAGTAGACTGAAGGTCTAACGGCTAATGATTAAAAATAATTAACAACAATGATGATGGTGCTCAGGCACAATGAAATGAAAATTACAACAGAACCTTAAAATTAATAAAATTTTCACAAAAATTGCCTTTTTTTTATCCCAAATACAAAAATTAAAACACTATTCGACGAAGCGTGTTAAGAATAGAATTTATGAAATTAATACAAAAAATAATTAAACAAATGACTGAAATGGATAATTCAAAATGAAGTTGTCTTTGGAGGGGCGGTATTTATAATGGTGTTATTCAAAATATAATTTCTTGTATTTTAGGTATCAAAACCAAAAACTGCAAAAATAATCAGTAAAAGAACATGAAGCTCATCGATCATTAAAACAGTACTGAAAATATAAATTTTAAGTGTTACCGAAAGGAGGTATCGAACACTATTCAAACGAAGGAGTCTCAAACCACAGATATCGAGAGTACGTGCAGGTGTTTAAGCAGTGGTAACTTATGATTTCTTACAACAGTAAAGTTAAAAAAACAACCACTCACCCGCAGGTATCCTCTCTGAAAATATTGGCAGAAACCTCCTCCTTTGTTTGGTGTCTCTTCGACTGGATTTTAAATGGAAATAAATCCGGAATTCCTTCGAGAAAATTGCAACCTGACACAATGTTCTTTCTACACTAAAAGAAACCGGCAGTATCAGCGTTCAATTTACCACAAGCAAAGGAGAGAAAGAGAGGCCCCCAATCTAGATACCAAGAAAAAAAACACGTGTTGCAGCATGAAGGCGATACAACACACAAGATACGTATCACAATTGGTAGGTAAGCAAAAATATATCGGGCACAATAAAGGGAGAAAGAGGCCTCCAACCTCGACACTAGAAAGATACCGCGTGTTGCAGCAGGAATGCAATACAACACACACAAGATATGTATCGCGATTGGTGGGTAAACAAAATAAAATATATCGTGCACCAGAAACTTCCTCAATATATAAATTCAAAATTTATACTTTTAACTGTCGATGGCTAACACATTTGAAAATAAAAAGAGATTATTATTTCACAAATAATCCAAAAATGACAATCAAAGAAAATGTGCCTTATGGCATAACCCGTAAAATAAAAGAAATTACTTGTCGCAAACTGAAAAATTGAACGTTTAAAGGAATTTTAACATTACCAAACCAAATTAAAAATATAAAATCACATACATCACCATTACAAAATACCAAGACCACGATGTGCCCTCTTCCATTCGCCAAAAATCTCTCCCGTCTCAATTTGAACCCGTTTCAAAAAGAAAAGAGAGCCCGGTTCGACCGCGCATCCGTTTTATATCCGTACCGTCAAAATAGGTTCAGTTCCGAGAGAACAATGTATCTCAGAATAGAGGTTGACCTACTTACTGTGTGTACGTCACAAGCGGTACGGAAACCGATAAATCTTGATGTCTAATTGAAATTATATTGTAACGAAATTTATTTCGGTACAACATTTCCTCGAAAGTCAGGATCTGAGAGCCTATCACACGAAACAAATGGGTCTTTACCGACTTGACGCCGGCCTCCCAAAGACCTCCAAAGTGAGGACTGGAGGGTGGGTTGAAGTGCCAGCGCACTTCACACTGGTTGGCGGACTGCTGGCAATACTGTACCAACAACCAGTTGGCACCGACAAAATTTCGCCCGCTGCGAGCGACAAAGCGCCGAAAAGCGGCCAAGAATGCGTCTGAACTGAGTTTAGAAGCCAAATCCAAATGTATGGCTTTGGTAGCCATGCAAACGAATAGGCAAATGTAAGCGTTCGGGGTCTTAGCGCCGCGCCTTCGCGCAAGGGTAATGGAAATTGGACCGGCGAAATCGACACCGGTATGCGAGAATGGCTTGCCCTGCGATACACGAACGGGGAGTAAATCAGCCATGAATGGCTGTACACAAGAAGGTTGGACACGGAAGCATCGGTAACGCTGCGATAGGGTGTGACGAATTGCTCTGCGGGCGGACAAAATCCAGAATTGTTGTGAAATCTGGTATAACAACGATTGGGGGATCGGGTGGCAATTTTCCTTATGGAACTTTTCGATCACGAGTTCGGTAAAGCGATGGGCTCGAGGTAGTAGAAGAGGATGTTTTGCGTCGAAAGACACCGCAGAACCTCGGAGTCTGCCACCGACTCGAATGAGACCGTGCTCGTCGATAAAGGGCGCTAGGGAGCGTAAAGGTTTGGGGCACAGTTTACCGTTTCGAAGACACTTCAGCAAACCGGCGAACACCTCACGTTGGACGTATCCTGTGAGCAACGTGCGACCGTGGTACGTGTCCGCAAAAGACAAATTATCAAGCGCTCGCTTGGGAACGGGGGTGCGACAGTTATTTAGAAACCTACAACAATAAGCAAGGATCCTCTCAATTTTTCGTAACGACGAGAAACGGTTTAACAATTCTCCAAACGAGTCGACTAAAAGGGTGGACACACAAGTTAACACTGGTTTACGTTCCAGTTCCAGATCGTCTCCAGGAGTGAAGTCGGAGGTGGGTCACTCTTCTACCGGAAGACGCAACCAAGGGAGACCACAGAACCACGCTACCCCACTGCAATCCCAACACCTTTAAGCTAGGATTGTCGTCTCCACAGAGGGAAACGGGTTGATGATGTGAAGCGGGGATTGAACTCAATAATTCGGGGGAGTTGCTCGCCCATTTGCGCAACTCGAAACCACCCAACTTTAGCAGCGATACTAATTGATCCCTCAACTCATGGGCTTCGTCCAACGAGTCTGCTCCTCCGATAATGTCGTCGATCTAGGTTTGGGAATCTAAGAGACGGGCTACGTCGTCCCGAGCAAGCTGACGCAACCTGCGAATAGCCAGGTATGGGCTACAACTACTCTCGCACTGCTTCGCGGGGATCAAAACGCCAAAGAATCCGCTGCAAGAGGTGGTCGACGTCACTCACTAGGATTTGACGGTATATCTTACGAATATCGGTGGTGAAAACCACACAGTACAGTCGAAAGATGAGCAAAATGGCTCCAATGTCAGGTTGGAGCTTCAGACCCGTAAATAAATGGGTATTTGGTCACATATTAGAGTATTTTTAACATTTGGTTAAATGTGTTTTTGCATTCCAAATTGAATACAAAGGGTGTGTCTTCTTGGAGAAGTCTAGTTAAAGGTTTTGAGATCATAGCGAATTTGGGGATAAAACGTTGGCAGTAACCGGTTAATCCCAGAAAAGATTTAACGTCTTTCGCCGATTTCTTTTCTGAAATTTTGTCTGGATTGAGTTTAACTCCGTTTTTCTTTCGAAGAAATTCACACTTGTCAGGTTGGAGTTTGAGGTTAGCACTACGAAGACGTTTGAAGGCACCTTTGTATATGTTCGTGTATCGTAGCGGAATAAACGATATCATCCATGTAAACGAGACAACGTTCGTTTTGAAGATCTAGGAGAATATTGTCCATGACGCGTTGGAAAGTGGATGGAGATTTTTTTTGTCGGAAGGGTAAACAAAGAAATTCAAAATAACCAGGCTAAATCCAGAGTTGTGAAATACTGACATCTGCCTAACTGGCCCAGCAGATCGGATATATTGGGGAGGGGTTATTTATCGTCGACAGAGACTTTGTTTATTTTGCGCTAGTCGATGACTACGCGCCATTTTTGTTTAACCATCCAATTTTTTTGCGACGACCCAAACAGGAGAAGACTATGGAGAAGTGGATGGTCGAATGATTCCTTGTTCGTGCTCTTTGTTGATTTGTGACTTTACCTTTGGTTTGTGGACATGTGGGTTATATTATTTTGTAAAAATCGGTCTGGTTAGTTTTGGTTAGTATGTTAAATTTCGTTAGTAAAATTTAAATAATCTCCTTCTAAATAGAATATATCAGAAAAACATAAACTAAAATATTTCTTATTGCGTTTATAAGGTAGTACGTAACTGCAGAGTAATCCTTAGATTCTAAGACACATGCTTTTATATCTTTTAAGTAATGCACGGTTATATTTAATATACCTTACCATAGAGTTGCATATTTAATACAAATTCAACTTCTTTCTGCCACCACCATATGTTTTCGTCATTTGAACTATATGCTGAGTGCAGCAAATATGCATTGTGCAGATGTTGCTAATTTTTTCTACCATTAAAATAAGTTATCAATTTTTCGACAATGTCATTATACTAATTCGGAAAATTTTTCTGTTAGACGCCATCGTTGGTTAACTATGAGTTAGCAGCAAAATTGATGGATTAAGTTGAGAGTACAAAATTCCCCTTATAACATGAAACAAACTTTTTTATTAATGTATTAAATAGTCCCCCTAAGTTGTTATATTTAGATTAAACTTGCAATTAATAGTGCACTAGTAGCAGAAGCTAAGTCAAGTTAAACTTATGGCAGGGTGGATGGTTCAAAAACAGTAACTGTTCGCATAAAAACTGAAAAATTTTCAGTGGAGATGGTCATGGATATCCTCGTCACAATGATATCAGTGGCACCTATTAAATTAATTTAATTTTACAGCGAGGACATGTTGCTGAATGATATAAAATACGGAACAAATAGACAATACAGTACCAGTACGATTACTCATGAAGCCTGTCTCCAATGGTTCGGAGAATTGGTGACCATAAGTTGGGCAGTCCGGGAAAGTTTTTGCAAATTCATGCAGTTCTATATTCCTTCGCAGATAAAGGTAAGTGCATGTAAGTTCCCTTTTTATGATATATTGAGTGTGTTCTGTTTCACATTACACTGTTGGATGATTTTTTTTGTTTGCTTTACACATAATCAATCACCCGCTTTTATAGGCTCTCGTTTATTAAGCTCGTTTCGTTGTGCACCGCTAGCGCCAAATGATGCGGTTTATCTCACTTGTTGCATAATATGAGGTGTGTTCGAAAAGTAAGGCGGCTTTTAATTTTTTCTTTTCTTCGCATTGCATCTCGCAAACGGCCCATAATTGCAAGGTAATACTCTTTATTTACAGTACGATGATTGTGATAAGAACTCTTGATGTACTGCGCCACGATGATCAACGAAAACAGTTAGCAAAACTTTGAAATATGCTCGAACTTGAAGTGCTTTTTTAGATCTTGGAGATTCTGGGTTCTTCTTGTCGTGGTTAAATTTTTTTAGAACAGAACGCTTCTGTTTCACAACAAAACAATAAACCTGCAGACATAATAAAAAAAACATATCGAAGATCGAAAAAGAGTTACAAAAGTCACCTTATTTTTTGAACACTTCTCCTATACTATTAATTTCAACTAGTGATATTTTTCGGACGTTAAACAACCTTTATATATTATCGAGCTATTAATTTTATTATTCTACAAATCTACCAGATCATTAAAGGTAGCCCATTAAATAATCAGTGAGTTGTAAAACCTAATTCGTCGGTCCATATCGTTTTTAATAAAAAGTCATCATCAGATTAAAGCTGATTTGGGGGAAAATCACAAAATTCTAGCCGTCTTATCATCAGCTCTAAGTGTGCCACGTGAATTACCATACAAATTAATGCTAAACTCTCCTCTTGTTGGAACTACAAAATTTCATCAAATTTCTTTCCAATTTTGCTAACAAATTTCGATGCCTCTGCACTCGCTGAGGATATTTACGCACCGTTCACTGGGTGTTGTGGTACATAATGCGTTTTCGCACTTTTCTCACTACAAAGTCAATAAATGCATGCAGCAGTGAAAAATAACTGGCTAAGTAAATGTTTTGCTTCATAACCACCTTATTTTTTGCACGTCTGCATTTTAAAAAATGGTGTTGATGATGAGCACATAAAACCATAACGTCATACTTAAGACTTAATGATGCCAACACGCAGGGGAGAAAAAGTTGCATTGAGAAAATATCTCTGAAACTAGTCATAATTTTCCCGAGTTCGAAAAGGTTTTAAATTAAGCAAAATTCGAAGTCGGCTTTTGTTTACCCAGCTTTGTATCTCTTACTGTTTCCACATGACTTCAAGTGCGTTTAAATGTAATTTCCTCTTCGCCGCATAGTAACATGCAAGGGACTTAGTTCTGGATGGGCTATATATTTTTTTAAAAAGGTATAAACTTTTATAGAAACAGTAATAATTATTACTTTACTGAACTCCACTGAATTTCAGAAATCACGAGGTTCCCTTATTATTAATTTGTATGTTAAGCAAGTTTAAAGGCTTAACAACCTAGCCGAATATTTTTTATTTTTTATTATTTTATAAAATCTCGATCTTATATCTCGGGAAGAACGCGTTTCTACGACTACAAGAAGGCGAAAATATTAACGAAGTATGGAGAAATTTAAAACATCCTAACTTTTCAAAACCCAACAAAATTTCATTGCTAAAAAAGATTAAAACTATGCTTTGTGAGTGAGTTGTCTTGTCACAGGTAAATTACTGTGGCGCAATGTTTAAATGAAACTTATTCTAACAGTTCAGCGACTGCAGAACTCTTGTCCGTGAGGAACATATGATGTCCGAAGGTTACATCTCTCACTTTATATTAACAAGAAATTTACACTCTGCCACCTTGCTTTTCAAATGCTTTGCCTTATTTAAAAGAAATAACTGATCAAATTGGAAGTATCCTAAAACAACACAAGTTTAGAACAAAGTACAAGGCACACAAAACACTGGGTCAACTAATACGAAACAACAAACAAAATCGACAATCTACCAGCATTATCTACAGTGGCGACACCGAATGGATTTGGTAGAGAGCAAGGTGATCGCAAATTTAACAAGATTAGAACGGACGACAGACAACAAGGAAGCAGTACAAATGCTAACACATCAATACATAAACTACCGAGATATTCCATACTCCATACAGCAATAGGAAAATAACACAATTTCCTCACTTCGAAAATAAGGAGGCAACGCTAGCAAGACTAACCGACAACGAATTAGCACCGGACACGTCCACCTCAGTTTAAGTGCGGACACGTATACTGACATGGACGCGCACCCTCTGAAGATGCCAGATTTAATTTTGGCGAAACGGATAAATATCCGGATCGATACCCTTACACATATAGCCAAAGGCCAACATTACTTACAATTTTTTGTAGAATCCGAGTTCATTTGAAATTATTGCCATGGTTTTTGAAAAACTATGGCCATAGCTGCCATAGGCCATAGGAGCGCTCAATCACCCTGAATACCCGATCTCTTTCAAAGTTGACTAAGATGAAAATGAAGCAGCAATATAAGTTATCCTGTGATTTATCCCATGCTCCTGCATTATATGAATTACTGGTATTGGTATTTAGAGGAGACAACCCCGCGGGCGTCCAAGCACTTAGGCCACCAGACGGGCCCGTTGTGCCCCCAGACCGCGCTAAAGGGCGCCCAGAATGCCGCCCCCGCTATAGAAGGTCAGCATCTTCTTTAGCCTAATACCGTGTACTAAGTCCGGATCGATCAGGGCCGTTCCTAAGACTTCAAATCTTGCCCATGGCAAAGCAGGGCACTCGATCAGCAGAAGATAAGGGGTCTGCTCCCCTTCCATGCACCACTTGCACTCCGGGTCGTCTACAATGCCTAGCAAACAAAGATGCCTCCTAAGCCTGCAATGTCCTGTGTAGGCCCCTGTTAGTGCTCTACACTCCCTTCTGGTCAGCAGCTCCTTGGTTCTAGGGAGGGTGAGCTGATTCATCATAAGCCTCGTCTGCCTCATTCCGGAGCAACCCTCCAGCCCACCACCGACTGTTCTCCCAACCAGGCTTCGAGAGCTTCCCGCCTCACGCACGGGGCGATCCCCAAGCGGGGCTCTGTGAGATGTGCTCGTGCAAGGAGCCTTCCCTGGCTAAGGCGTCTGCTGCATTATTGCCCCGAATCCCGGTGTGATCCAGGACCCAGAACAATGTGTCACTCCTCGCCTCGGTTACATTCCTTAGCAGCATTCCTTTGCACTCCTTTATTAACAAGAAACGCGTGCGCACTTACTTTAGTGCCATAGGTGCAGCCCTACTATCAGTGCAGAAAAATACTCTCCTGCTTCCGTGATTGAGCCGAATCACTTCTCTGGGCGCCATCAATATAGCGAAAATTTCCTCCTGAAACACGGTGCAGTACTGTACACTGGTGAGGCAAACGGGCCGGTATGACTTCGAGTTCGTGTAGTCGTTCTTCACTACCACCTCCACTACCCTGCTCTGTCTCCACAACTCGGGCACGTATCTCCTCGCAATGGAGACTTCGAACAGATCCATCAGCGGGCTGGTCAGGAGACCTCCGCTTTGCAGCAGAGCCGGAAATATTCAATCCCCGCTTGCTAACTTGAAAGGGCTGTGAATAGTCAACTTCAGCCTACTATGGGTAGCCACCCTCCTTGCCGTAGCGTAGTCGCATTTAGGACGACCCCCGGCTTCAGCATTCGCCCTGGTTCGATAGACCCTAGGAAGTACGTGGTCAGCAACTACTGTAGTGTGTCCTCTGGTACCACTGTGTAGCCACCGCCGGTTCTGCGGACCATTCCCAGTCTTCCCGCCTGGTCAGTTTTGAGTACAATAATGAACCTAGCCGCATCCGGGGTGTTAATTATGTCGTCGCAGTATCCCCACCAGGCCTTTCTCTGTAATGCATGTAGTTCTTTTTTGTACTGTCTACGGACATCCCTATAGAGATTCTAGTCAGCACCTAGGTCGCTGCTTTTCACTGTATTGAACAGCCTCCGCACTCTCTTCCTGAGACGCTCCATGGATAAGCTCCACCAAGGAGTCCTCCCCCCCCCAACCCTTACCGCCAAGCGAGGTCCACCATATATAGTTCTCAGTTTGTTGCCCGGGGGTTCCTAAATCTAGCGGGTTCTCGCATACCCATTTCCAACCCAAAGGTGATACATCTATGATCCGACATAGAGTCCTCCCCCAGACACACCGCCCAGTTATTTCCGGGAGCAGAGCGCTGGTACAAAGTGTCTATAACCGAGCTCCGACCCGTCGTGAAAACCGTGGATTCTGCCCCTCTGTTGGCTACGTGCAGCCATGCCGAGGTCATCAACTCCACTAGATCTCCCTCCCCTTCAATTGCTGCCCCGCAGAACGTGGTGAGCATTGCTATAGCAGCCAATCAAAAGAGGAAGATTCGCCTCCTCATAGTAGGAGACAAGTCACTGATTTCCCTCGGAGAACAGCTGCGGTCGAAGAGGCGACTACTAAATCCCTCACGCAGTCCCGAGTGGGGGATCTGATCAGACCCCAGGTTCCTGGACGCCTTATCCCTTGGGAAAAAGGACTCCAGCCCCATGGTTAGTATGTAGGCCCAGGGAACACCCCCTGAGGAGTCTACACTATGCAGCGTCGACCCTCCCAGAGATAAGCCCCTAACCTTTGATTTTACAACCAGGACTTTTGAATCCGTACAATGGATTTACCGTCCTCCGAAATTTTCCTGCATAAGTGAGCCGTTGCGGCCATGCTGTGTTGCAGGTTCCGCCTTTCTTTGACTGGTGGACCCACGAGCCCTCTTCGTGTGAGCCCCCCGCGGCTACCTCATCCCCCTGCGGTCTCGGCGGCGCCAGATTCACTTCAACCTGGGTCCTCAGGCAGAAGAGAAGTGAGCCCTTAGCCATGATGGCGCTTGCCGATTTCTCGTTCACGCCCACCACCCACCTTGTACCCCTTGCGTCCTCCGTCCTCTGGCAGACCCTCCAGGCACGGCAATCTAGACCATTCTGAGCTGATTAG